ATACACGCTGCGCAAGTGTGCGCGACAGCTGATTTTTAAAACATTAGCTCGCACATGCACAAAGAACATCCCTGCAAAGTCTCAGCTTTGTACCTTGCCTGATTCGTGAAGTCGTTCCTCGCCAAAGAAATCTGCATATTTTTTCAGAGGGGCGGGGCGGTGTCTAGGTGCGTGTGGGGGAAGATCTTAAAACGGGAGGGTGGCGCACGAGATCGGGACATATACCCAAAATTTCAGCCTCCCAGCTTTCTCGGTTGCTAAGATGAAAGTGTGTGACAAAAGTTCACTTGCTCCCGAATACACACACAGACGACCTCTTGACAATTTGTTTTTGCTGGCTGTAGCAGCGCTATAGCGCTGCAGCAAAAGCTCATAATGTACGCTGGAAGTCCATCCGGCTCTATAATACAACAGAAGTCCATCCGGCTCTGTAATACAACACCTTCATCCCAGCCGATGCCCTTTCCCTTTGCGTGCGGGAAGAGGTCCAAACACAGCCAATATGAGCCCAGGTGTTAAACTACAGCGCAGGGACCATTCCTGTTTTTAGCGACCTGCAAGTTTAGCCCAAAAACTGATGATCACACCGGCAAGCCTGATGCGTTCCAGGCTAGGCTGCATTTGCATACATGCAAAAACGCATAAAAATCGCTCATCCGCTGCATAAGCTATCCTGTTTGGGCACTAGCACAAGTGTTTAGTCGTCTTCTCAGCCCTATCTGCTGGAGGTGCGCTCGTACGCAGACCTTACAGCTTAAGCATCGCCAAGATTTCTAAAAACTCTGATTTTACAGCCCGAAATGGAGCAAGCTGCGGATTCGGATTTTAGTACTTTACAAAAGCCAGAATGAAGGCAGGTTCGACATGACATGCAATAAACAACACCTTACTTTAGAAATGTATGAGTGTGCTGTCAGTTAGATGTATGCTGACTGTACTATATTTCTTGGTCTGATTGGTGGTGTGGTTCCTCACTGACCCTATCGATTTTACAAACGCTTAGCATACTGCTACGAAATTCCAAAATCCCTTACACGGAACCTCTGGTATATCAAATTCTTCATGCAGATGCCTTTTTGGTAGCGCAGTCGAATTTCTTTTTTAGAAAGTATGTAAAACATCTTCGGGAATTGTAGCAGTAAAAAAATTTTTAAAACGTATAAGAAAAATTTCGTATTTTTCCTGAAGATCTCACTCATGAAGGATTAATGAACAAAGCATTCTTTAAAAAAAAATAAAAATTTAGCTTAATTTATAATTAAACTGAGGGGGAAAATAACCTTGGCTGGAACCAGCGAAATCTTCGCTGCAGTCATCTCCAGTTGAGTCGTTAAAACCGGATGTTGCTGCATCTGCTGCCGAACCGCTCTACAAGTACATATTGGAAAAAGCATACAAGAAAGCACTGGATAACTTTACTGATTTCGTTAATTGTAAAAAAAAG